ACGCTGACATAACAATCTTCGTTCAGTTCCTGGACCACCACATCACAATTCCTGGCTCTGGCGCAGAGGGATCCTTCCTATTCTCACCCATCCGCAACTCAGCCAATTGCTTTGCTACAGCCTCTCATGTGCAGCTACATAGAACTCTCAACTGCAAGGCACAGAACTTAACTCAAGACAGCTGGAGCCCCATGTTCTAGCTCATGAAACAACAAAGCCTATGGGGTTGTAAGCTTCAGGCACCGTCCGGTATTGTAAAGACTTTCTTGGGTCTTTCTCTCTCCCTTTCCTCAGTTTTGCTTTTTTTTTTTTTATCATTCTGCCCCTCGATAGCATTGCAATTGGGGCATCTTGGTCTCATCTTCCCATTGAAATGGAACCGGGCAACATCTGTCTCTCTAAACTGCGAGGACTTGGGGGTGAGAAGCGGGTTGTTTCTCAAAGGAACTGATATCCAATTAAGGGGAGATGATTACTTACTAGGTTGAGAAAAACAACAGTTGTCTCCCTTAAGCTTGAAAGCTTCTCATGTGTCTGCACCCTGGCCCCTTTCCTCTTTATTGGGCGTTCTCTGTGCAATGGCTACGAAATCAGCCTCTTCAGTCGTGTATACAGTCTGTTGCTGGGATGTGTTGGCTGCCCTGGAGCACCTCAAGACCACCCTTTAAGTAGATACGCTGTTTCGGGTCTAGGTGCCAGACAGGTATGACAGTTGCCTTTGGGAAGCTCCAGGGCACAGTGGCCAAGGTTCATATTGGCTATGTCATTGTGACTGTCATTATCAGGCTGCAAAACAAACAAAATATGACAAAGCCCTGTGCCTGGGCTATAGTCATTGTCTCTGGCCACCAAAAGGCCCAGAGACAATGGGGTTCACCGAGTATAACAAAGATAGATTTGATAATGTGGCGGATGACAAATGGCTTATTCCCAATGGCCACAGGATTAAACATGTCCCCAGTTGCCATCCCTTGAGCAAGTGTTAGGTCCTGTGTCTGAGAAGGCATCTGACAGCAACCCTTCTTTTATAACCCTCACCACCAGTAAATCCTACTTTCTGTTCACCTAAAATAACTAAAAAAATAATGATAGTAATACAAAACACAAGGGCTATTTGATCTAAGTATGCTGCTGGCCAATCTTTCTAAGCCCAGCTTCCCTCTTTGAAAGGTGAGGATGAGAATAGCTGTTTATTGTACTTCAAGACAGTGAAGTAACAAAATGAGCAGGGCCTGGCAGCACAGGGCTGCTTATCCCAGAGTCTCCGGAGGTCATGGCAGGAGGAGTACAAATGTTCAAGGTCACCCTGGGAGACTTAGTGTGAGACAGTCTTGAAATAAGAAGGAAAGAGAGCGTGCTGTGATGTAACTCAGCCACAGAGTCCTTGCCTAGTATCCAAGAGGCTCTTTGCAATGCCCATAGCCGGGAAGAGAAATGAAAGGCAGGGGTAGGGTAAAACGCTTATTTAAAAATACAGAAAATGAAAACCCTGGAAGTGTTGACTCCTCTGAAGTCGCTGTGTACTTTTTAAACCTATCTCTAAGTCAGAGAAAGCTTGTCCTCTAACACCAGGGAGGCCTGAGTCTCTGCTGTCCCTCATTCATCATCTTCCTCTGGGGACGTGGAGGGCAGGGGATGGAGTGTGACCAGGGAGAAAGGAATGCCGATGCTGTCTGGTCTCAGACTCTGTGTGTCTCAGTAGGAATGTGCACTTTGTTCATTTCAGTCAACATTGCCAGTCGTGCTACATTGCAGGAATTTATTAGTTCAACAAGGTTTTGTTGGATGCTGATCCCTCATCCTTCCTCCCTCCCTGTGTCTTTACCATCTGACAGTTTTTTTCTAGCCAAAATCTGAATATCCCCAAGGATCTGTGCATCCTGAGAGTCAAACCAAGAAAACTCCATGAACAACCCTCAGTTTTGAGCCCATCCCCATCGATGTCAGCATCCTTCAGAAACAGAGTTCACACCTTGTCTGTTTCCTCCTTCGCATTTCCATTTCCACCCCAGTGGGTCAAACGGCCCTTTCACAGGGCTGCCTAAGACTGTCAGAAAACACAGACACTTATGTTACAATTCATAACAGTAGCAAAATTATAGTTAGGAAGCAGGAGTGAAAATAATTTTCTGGTTGGGGGTCATCACAACATGAGGAACTGTATTAAAGGGTGGCAGCATTAGGAAGGTTGAGAACCACTGCCTTAAAGGGACAGAAGGGCTTATGGGAAGACCACTGTCTTCTGAGAACACAAATTCGTACGTAGAATGTTGAGTACTGCTGGACTTGGATGCCGTGTACTGACTGTATGAAATATATCTTGTCAAACTGGGGTGTGGGCTCTTGAAGCTAGCACACACCTTTAATACTCAGCGGATACCCTGCAGAAGACCCCGCAGACCCTCGGATACCCTGCAGAAGGCCCCCCGCAGACCCTCGGATACCCTGCAGAATACCCCGCAGACCCTTTTTAGCCTGGAAGCAGAGCTCCGCTCTTATGGCTAGCCCCTCTTCCCCCCTAGAACACACACTCCACATACAGTGACCATTGCAGGTTTCATAGAATTTAGTTACAGCAGTGAGGTCACTGTTCAAAACTATAAAGGCATGAGTATATTAAAAAAAAACTTTCCCAAAGTAATGAACTACCTGCATTGGAAAGAAAAAGAGAGGGGCAGGTTTCATGCGGTGTGGTGGAGGTCATGAGTCAAATTTAAGCATCATCAACAAAAGTGAGAAATGTGGGAGAGGGTGGTGTGAGAGGACGGGGAGCAAATAACTTTGGTGAGGGCAGAGTAGAAGTGTCCAGTGCCACCGGCAAGCCTACCGCCTTCCAGACTGAGCACCGCAAGGCTACGTAATGTGACAAATGACTATGAGTCCTTCCCTAAGGGAAGAGTGGGAAGTTTTTTTCACTGGAACGTTCCAAGACTACAAATGTGAAGGAGCAGCATTTTTTGTGCCACTAATTTAGAAAGACAGTCAACAGATCAACAAGGACTTCTGGAAAGTAAACAGTCCTATTGGCTAGCTTGACATCAGTTCTACACTTGAATTAAACTATCCACCCTAGCCCTGTGACTAGAGGTCTCTAGAAGAATGATTATGGCATTCTTTTTTTTTATTTTTTGGTTTTTTACGAGACAGGGTTTCTCTGTTTTGGAGGCTGTCGGTCCAGCCTGGCCTCGAACTCGCAGAGATCCACCTGCCTCTGCCTCCCGAGTGCTGGGATTAAAGGCGTGCGCCACCAACGCCCGGCGATTATGGCATTCTTAGAAGATAATCTGTTCTTTACACAGACTAAAGCCCTCACTCAAATGTCCCTATTTATGCAGATTCATGATGTGTGATGACAAAGGGAAATGACAGGTAATTGTGACCTCTGGATTATGTATGTATGCGTGTATTACCTATAGACAGGGTCTTGCTAGGTAGCCCATATTGGCTTTGAACTCCACAGCTTCCTGCCCCAGCCTCCACTACATGGGGCTATTGCCAGATTGTTTTTCTTTTCTTTTTTTTTTTTTACACTTTTTTAAATTATATATTTAAATTAGAAACAAGCTTGCTTCCCATGTCAGTCCCAGCTCCCTCTCCCTCTGCTCCATGCCCACTCCCTCCCCCACCCCCCCAGCCCCCACTCCATTCCCCAGGGAGGGTAAGGCCCTCCATGGGGGATCTCTAGAGTCTGTCATTTCATTCTGGGGAGGGCCCAGGCCCTCCCCCAGATTGTTTTTCAAACTGTCTGAGGATAACTCTTAGGAGTTGTCCTTTCCTGCACTGGTTTATGGTACCCTCCACTCCATCCTTTGGAAAGCACAGCTCTTAGTCATTTAGTTTCTATGCTGTCCTACCTTGGTTTTCCCACAGGGGTTCCGAGCCCCACAAACTGATGGGAGACTCATGGTCCTTGTTAGGCTGGGAGTGGAGTCCCTTTCTGGCAGCCAGTGTCCTTTCCCACGCAAACACACATTCCATGGGATGTGTGTGTCACTGGGCTGAGAAAGCCGAATCCTAAAGGTGAAGGAGGATAAGACAGACAGTCCAGAACGTTCCTAATTCAAGGCCAAACCGACTTTCACGTATCTAGTCCGTGAAGTTTATTTTCTATCTTTCAATTCAATTAATTTTCTTGAAAAGAAGCCTGGGTGGAGGCCAACAGTGGAGGAAAGGGATGTCACTGGGCCAAAAACTGGGAATAATCAGCTCCTTATGGTTTTAGGGACAAAGTGCCAAGACCTTAAGGATTTGATTCCAGGAGAGCGTTCCAGTTGTTTTCTTTAACGCTCAGTCGCTGAATCCTGACTGCGTAGTACGATGATTCTCAAACCTTAGTACAGTTTCATGTTGTGGTGCCCCTCCCACCCCCGCCATGAAATTATTTTCGTTGCTTCTTCATAACTGTAATTTTGCTACTGATATGAATGGTAATGTAATTATCGTGTATTCCGATGGTCTTGGGTGGACCCTGTGGAAGGGTCCTTTGAGCCCCCCCCCCACAAAAGGGCATGCAACCCATAGGTTGAGAATCTCTGGGTTAGAGAAACTCGGAGGTAAAAAAGTTGGTAGATGACAGAACACGTGCCTTGCCAGCAGGGGCCTTTAAGACAGAGCCTTGACACACAAGAGAAACAACTAAAACAACAAACTCGGTTTGGCACACGCCGCCTGAAGCTGAGGAAGGAGAACCGCGGTGAGTTGTCCAGGTGAGTTCCAGACCAGGCTGGGTGTCAGAGTGTGTCCTCATCTCAATCTCCCGGCACGGAAGACTATCTACTGGGGGGAGGCGGGCGTGCACTGCTTAAGAGAACCCATCACGAACTTCATTTTTAAAGAAAAGGCCGCTCGCACTGCGCGCACAGGTCAGCGAGTGGGTGCGTGCAGCACTCATCTGCAGGACGGCGGCTCTGCCAGCGGTGCCGGATGGGTCAGCCATCAGCCACGCGCCACTCCAGCCTAGTAGTGTCCACGGACTTAGGGGGCGCCCCTCCTCCAGTCCTGGGGTCCAAGTAGGGGCTCCTGCGGCTGCTGCGGTGGCAGGAAGTCCCCGCGAACTACAAATCGAGGCATGCTGGGAACATTCCCTGCTCCTCCCAGGAAATGTCCTTTGTCCAGCCCCACAGGAAACCCCAGCGAAGAGGTAGCGGGCAGCTAGCCCGAGTGCCAGCCCGCGGCCGCACCGCCGCCGCCGCACCCGGCAAACGCGCGGGCGCCAGGCTCCGGCATTGCGCTCGGAGCTGCCCGGCGCATCGCAGGTAGGAGCGCCGCTGCGACTGGGCGCGCCCGCTTAGGGGATGGGGATACGGAGCTGGGCACTGGGACTGACCTTCTCGGGGTTGGGGTGTATGCGGTTGTTGAGCTGCTGCGTGAAACTGTGTCCGGCACACTGGACCGTGGTCTGCCATCTCTCGGGCTCAGGAACCGTGGACGCATGGGGAGCCCTCGCATCCCTAAAGCCGAGCGGAGCTCCCTTTGGGCTCAGTGGTGAGGGGCGGGGTGGAAGAGGCTGAGACTGCGCTGCTAGAGCGAGTCGAACCGTCCCACAGACCACCGAAGGGGGCATCAGAGACCCTGGGAGACCAAGCCCAGGGAGGAGCTTGCAAGACGAGCAGAAGGTGAAGGGCTTTGTGTGCAGCGGTACACCGACTTAGATCGCGCTCCCATTGCTTGCTCCGTCAGCGCCCCCAGTCCCACTGTGAGGAAAGTGGGTGGGGGTGGGGACTTTACGAGGGGCAGCAGGTTAATTTGGGTCCGTGTGAAATGTGTGTCTGTTCCCCTCTCCTCCCATCTGTCTGCCCGACTCGGATTACCGTTTAGGGGCTGCGATCAGACTGGGCAAAAGGCACAATAAGGACCTGTGGATGGAAACCCGGGGCTAGGGGTCGTTGTCTGACGTTGCTGTGATTACCAGTCACAAATGTCCACGTTGGTTGGTCCTGGGCAGGTGGTGAACAGAGCTGGAGCCTGCAGCCAGAAGGCTTATTGAGGCTCAGGTGACCTGGGGCGAGGCATATGTTGGGATGAGGGAGGGTGAAGAGGAGCGGTGACACAGGGACTCTGGGTGTATCTTACATGCAAACTACACAATAGCAGGCCTCTAGAATGAGTCTTTACGACTTCCTCTGGGACTTTCCGCGATTTCCCATTTTTTCTTAACTCCCCCCCACACCTGCCCCGTCCCCAATGAATCAGCTGTCTCTCCGCACTAGTACCGGGCACACTTTAATTTGGTGGTGCTGTAATCCTGCCTGTTGAGTCAGGCACAGTTGGCTGTCAGCATTCCCCTACAGTGGGTCTCTTCCCAACAGCCTGCCGTGGTAAAGGCGGTGAGGCAATGGCTAGCAAGCTCGCAGTGTTTGAGAGCTGTGGTGGACAAGTGGGCAAGTTTGAACACAGTGTGCCCCCATAAGGGAATTCACCTGCCTCCGTTGCCTTTCTGCTCCTCCACGTATATCCAAGTGATTATCCCTCCTTTGGAAATGTGTGGTTATTGCTTAATGTACAATACACTGTAAAGCCAAATGAATGTCTCTTGAGTAGGGAGGAGGGATGCTCTAGGCCCTGGCTCGAAGGGGGAGGGAGGAAAGTTTTCCACTGGCATTGCTAGTTAGATAAAACATGTAGACTATCTGGAGTGAACTAACTGGAGTGTCCAGGCAGCCAGTGCTGGGATGGAATGAAGAAAGAAACTCTGCACTAAAAAAGTCTCCAATTGCTCACACTGACTGTGTGTGTTGGGAGAGAATCCTTGGAGGAAGGTTGAAGGCCCAAGAGAGAATGAGATAACCTGAGATTGAACCAAGGGAAAGTCAGGCTGCCTTCTAGGTCGTGCTGGAGACACACATGATGGCATTCAGAAACTACTGGAATGAAGGAGTGAGTGACCAGAAATCAGAAAACTCAGAGAATGCAGCTAGATTGAAGGGACCAGGGTGACCTCACTGGAGGCTGCATGTCTGAGGCTGATGGATTTGCATAACATTTCCTCCTGCCAAAAGCTCTTTGGATTTCTCCAGAATCTGCTGGTCTGCCTGATTTTTTAGTGTCCTGGAAAAGGAAGGAGAAAGTGTAAAAGCTGGTTACTAAAAAGGGAAATGTAAGACAAGAAAGAGCTTGTCTGCTTCCAAATCGAGAACACAGAAAGCCTCAGTAGCATGAAGAAGTCCAGATTGCAGCCCCGTGTGGTGCCTCAAGTGCCGTTTGAGACGTGCTCACATTGCCTTCCTTCTTCCCCTCTTGGCAGGTTTCTGAGTCATGCTATTTAGTGTTAACGTAATTGACGATGGTAAATAACTAAATTTGACATTCAGAGTTCTTGACATATCCAGTGTCTACCCATTTCCCTATTGCTACAAACAGCTTTCATCCCAAGATGCAACACACATTCTTGAGCATTGGTTCCTCAGGTCAAACCACATGCCTGTAGCACATTCCTGCACTGCCTGCCATTGTTTTTGTTCCAATCCATAACTCCCTCACAGGAGTCTTTCGAGAATTCCTAGTTGGCATTAATCTTATTCTCATGGTACTTTATATTTTGGTGACATCTCTCCCCGTCTGTTATGAGAGCTGTTCATCTTGTTCTCCCTTAAAATTGTAAACCCCTCGAGGACAATGATTTTTTTCTGTCTGATGCTTTATAAAAGATGCACAAGGGTGTTTGCTTTGAAGTTCATAAATAAATGAGAACAATGAAAGAATACGCACATCTTGTATTTATTTATAGGTCAGGTTTTACGTAGCCCAGGCTGGCTTCTAGCTCACTGTGTAGCCACGGATGACTGAGCAGCTCCACAGCTCCCATCCTTCTTGCCTCATCTCCTGAATGCTGAGGTTAGAGGCGTGTTTCAGGACACCTTATTTTATGCTGTACTAGGGACCCAACCCAGGATTCGGGTGCAAACTTGGCAAGCTCTTTATCAACTAAGCTACATCTCCAGCCTACATATGGCTTATTTTATCTCTTACTTGGTACAGCCACAGAATCTTTCTCATCGACTTGGGAGGACTCATTGTGATGGAAAATAAAACCTCTAGTGCCTGGCACACAGAAACCTTTCCTTTCTCCTGCTTTAAAAGACTCTAAAAGCATTTGTCACCGTGTCTAGTAAAAGATGTTCGTGAGAACCATGTTATCGAGCTTCTTTGCCAATGTGGATTTTAAACTCTAGCAACATATGGGACGGATTAATGCAAGTTCATAGTCATTTTTATAGGTCTACACTGAAGAAGGTGATTTTCTTCTCAGTATTAAAGTGTCTATGAGAAGGGAGGACTCCAAGGACTGTCCTGTACTTTGCAACTCAGTCAGGCATCAAACATGACACTTTCTTCTTACAGACTAAGCTGTATCAGGACCAAAATGTAGGACATATAAGAACAGGCAGATTATCTCCTCAAACTTTATTTCCTTCCAATATAGTTTTTACCCCATTGGTAAATAATTGAGTATTTTTCTTGCTTTCTTTTCATGTGATTTATAGCCATCACCATTTATTGGATACATTATTGAATACACCAATGATTACACTAAGACATCAGGGCTAGGGACATGCATGCATGCATTATTTGGTACAGTGCTTGCTTTACAGGTACAAGGACATGAATTTGATCCCCAGAACCCATGTTTAAAAAAAGCCGGTCATGGTGGCATGGACATGTAATGTAATCCTGGCACTGGGGAGACGGAGACAGGAAGATTCCTGAAGCCAGCCAGCCTACCTACTTGATGAGTTCCAGTTTACTGAGAGATCTGGCTCATAAAAAGACAGGCAGCACTTGAGCAATGACTCCACGGGCTGTGGCCTCCAAGTTCACGTGTAGGCATGTGTCCCCGTGCACCTCCACACACACACAGAATAAACTAGACAGCTTGCTTGTGTTACCTTATTTCATCTGGTAACTGACCTTATCTCCATTCTAACAATGAGGAAGCCAGCGATCAGAGAGATGTTAAGAATCTTGCCTGGAGCCCAAGATTCTGAACTGGCTCTGCATTGGAATGCTGGTCTGCTGATCACAACTTTCAGAACTGCTTTCCGTGTGAGGGACTCGATGGCTGTCCTTTCTTCCTCTAAAGCCTCCACATTTGCAGGTTTCCTGTCAGGAACATTGTTGGGCTCTAAAGTCATCCTCCTGCTTCTCATTCTGAGAAGCAGAGTTCTTTCTTTACAAACAAAACAACAGCAGTAATAAATAGCATTTTTTTCATGCCTTTAATTTCCTCTGGCTATCAGTTGGAAAGACCAAATTTAGAATCCTCAAGGCTTTTGGGCACAGAACTTTGTCTAGAATTTTCGTTATTCTTTCTTTTTGTTTTCTTCTAGCCTGTCTGAATTCTTTTCTGTCCTCTCCAGGCCAAGTCTCTTCTCTTCAGGGTAGGTTGGCGTGGTCATGCCAGGTCATCCTTAGCCTCTCCTTCAGTCTCTGGCATTGCCTGAAAGGCTTGGGTTTCATTGACTTCTTCATAAGAACTCAACTGAGCACGTGACGGGGACACAGACTACAACATGGTGTGTGGTGTACTTTTAGAACTCTTCGCCATGAATCATTAGTCATGGGTAAATGCAGAAATGGAGACATGAGCCATTGAAATGTTAACAGTTGGCCTGTGCTGTAGAAGGAAGACAGGAAAGAAACTGATTTTCTTTGTTATCCTTCACGTTTTTTCAGTGGGATTGACTGCTAAGCTCCAGGTGGAAGGATTCTGGGCAGAGCTGTGCTGGGCTTTCCTGAGTTTGTGCTAATGTCATTCTGAATGGTGATGGAGGTTAATGACTTCAGGTTGTATGGGTGGGGCCACTGCTTCAGTCACGCCCTTGGTGGCGCATCTACCCTCACCAGACCTAGGAAAGGCCTTTTTACTGCACATTAAGAAGATCATAGGGGTTCCCCGAGTGCCAGCAGGGAAGGAATAGAAAAGACAGAGCCTGGGGTGAGGAAGCATCTCTGGTAACACCTCTGAGAGGGTGAGGAGGGATTTGGGCTTTTCTTTAGCAGGTATGGCGGAGCAGCCTCTCCTCGAGGGATCAGTGCTGTCAGTCAGCTGTCATGAGACTGAATCTGTCTTCCCACAGCAGTTCATGGGATAGCTGTGTCTCTACACAGCAGGTCATGCTCTGTGCATTTGCAGGTTAGACGTGGCCTTTCTTTAAGGAGGTGTATTGCATTCATGAGGCCTCCTGAGACCTTTGTTAGGATCTGGCTGCAAATCACAGGGCAACAATCATTCTTTTTTGGGGTTTTATTCCTAAGA